CGGCCGCTGCAATGGACAACACCCCCTGCATGGTTCTCTGAGGATATCAGACTAAGGGAGCTTTCGACGGCTCTGGTTGCCACGGAAATGACAGTGCTCGATCTCCATATCTCTCAGCGCAGCTCTAGTTGCTCTCTGGAGGAGTCCTACATCAAAACTGGGCTGGAGCTGTTCTCGAAGGCGGGCAAGTCAGCTACAGATGTCTTGATTATGATTCTACAGGCGAAGTCTTAGCTAGCCTATCTCGTGCCTTATCGTACTCAATTTCTAGGCGGCAGGGCACCCGAATTTCTCTGGAACATGCTCGGAGATATTCCTCTCTGGAAGAGAAAGCTGAAGTCTAGGCTTGAGGATGATTCGATGCCACATATACTTTCTATTATGGGGAAAGAAATGACGGCTGCATCTTCGAAGCTGTTCTGCAAGTCGACCAGGGAAACTACACCTACTTTTGTCGAGACGTTTGACCTCACACGGCTGCTTCGTATCTAAAACACTGCTTGGTGGCGCATATGATGTTGCGATAGACTCCAAGTTGAATATCCTGTGTAGATTAGCGAGCGATCTAGCAGAGACAAGCGGCAGACATACCTTCCAGAGGTTCTTGTCATCCGGGGTATCTTGGTTTATTCGAATGGTGGGGATGCCGAAACTTTGAAACAATGAAACCTGATTACCCTTTAGCATAAGAATCGATTAGACGAAACAAAGACTTACATGACTAGCTTGCAAGAGCTTCAGAGGCGAGATAGTGATCGCGATTTTCGAAGGATTGCCAAAGAGAATTGGCAGGATCATGGCAAGCGTTTTGCCATACTACCTGTTCTTGCGCGAGCTACGACGTTCTTCCCAGCTAGAATATTCACAGTGGCCTCGATCTGAAACTGACGTAGTTTTCATTCGCCTAGATACCGAGCATCGAACCAGGCTGTGGCTTTGAAGACAGTCTTGGCTTGCTGAGGTGTCAGGCTCTCGACAAAGGTGGGGGAGAGCTCACCGAGCGATTGACGAGCATTATCGGACAGTAATGATAAGTTGAATCGATCGAATATATTCATAACGTAGCGATGTCGGGGGAGACGATGTAGGAAGCGATGTACAGTATAGACGAGGCAGCGGCACTTAGACGCGACGCGTCTGCAATTCAGGGGCTCAGTTCCCTTATCCGGGGGCGATCTTCTCTCGGGCCGAGGCCAAATTCAAACTCAGTTGGCTCCCTGCCAGGGAGTCGACGAAATCTCCCAGTCTCCCAGATGCGAAGGCCCCCATGGCCTGTTGCCTCTTTAGGCACGCGTCTCGGGAGACTGGTCACGAGTCTAGTCCAGGACGGGATTGAACGCGAGATGTCTC